AAAAAAAAAATACATAAACACACATACATATCAGAAAGATACTGGGTAGCTCCCAGTAAAAAACTGAAAAAAGCCTGACTAACTAGACCTCTGAAGGACAGGAACCAATGGCTTACAGAGGTAAGAAACCTTCCAAGGTTTACCATTAGCTGATTCAGCTCCAATCATCTCGTGTCCTTGTGTGCCTCTTAGCTCATCTTGTCTTAAACACTGCCACACCACCTTGACAATCCAGTCTACACACAGTAGCCAGTAAGCTTTCCTTCTAAAGCAGAAATCTAACCACGTCTCTCTCCTGCTTAAAATCCTTCAATGGCTAGGCCAGGCATGGTGGCTCATGCCTGTAATCCCAGCACTTTAGGAGGCGGAAGCGGGCGAATTGCCTGAAGTCAGGAGTTCGAGACCTGCTTGGCCAACACAGTGAAACCCTGTCTCTACTAAAAATACAAGAAAAAGTTAGCCAGACACGGTGGCACATGCCTGTAATCCCAGCTACTCAGGATGCTGAGGCAGGGAAATTGCTTGAACCAGGCAGATGGAAGTTGCAGTGAGCCAAGATCATGCCACTGCACTCCAGCCTAGGAGACAGAGTGAGAGTCTGTCTCAAAAAAAAAAAAAAAAAAAAAAAAAAAAATAAAAAAAAAAAAAAAAAAAAAAAAAAAAAAAAAAATCCTTCAATGGCTAATGAGAGCTTTCAGAATAAAAACTCCAAATCTCCAGCATTCATGAGTTGGTGTCTTTCAGCCCCACGCCTAACCATTCATCTGTCCTCTCTTCACTGCACACCCTATACCTGGGTCCTGCTTACTACATACATTTAGTTTCCTGCATGTGCAGAAATCCCTCTTGTTCTAGTTTCTGTATCAGTAACAGCAGTCCTGGCAGAAATAGAACTCACCTCAGGTAGTTCCAATGAAGACACTTGAATGAAAGAACCACTTTCAGAGGTGTGGAAAGAGTTAAGTGAATCAACAAAGGAAGAAGATGTGCCCATAGACTAGTAATGGTAGTGAGGGAATGTGTTCTCTTTCCGGGTCCATGAGAGGGCGTAGCTTTACGGGCAAGAATTTCCTGGCGCCATGCCTCCTCCCATCTCTCTCCATCCGGGAAATTCAGCGGTTTATGTTTGAATTTCACAGGCGCAGGAAGAAACTAAAAGTCAATCACTCCAGCGGGAGTTCCAAGGAACTCCTTTCATTGGCCCAGGGTCTTGGAGAAGGCGGGAGTTCCTCCCAGGATAAAAGTCCGTGCTCCCTCACCTGCTCCAGATTTCCACCTTTCTGGAATCCCCTCCCACACGGTGGGAGCTCCCTGTGGGATTTTCCCTCTGGAATCCCCTTTCCTTCTCCTTTCCTTCTCTTTTCTCTACCTAAATAAAATCACCTTTCTGCAACACTTTTGGGGTCTGATATTCACTTTGAGAGCATACGGTGAAGCTGAAGCGGCCCCACCACTTATTCTTTAAGAGGTTGAAGGCCAAAAAGCCACAACATCCAAGAAAAAACCCGGTTGCAGTAGGAAACCATTACCATACCAGGATTGAAGAAACAAGGTGAAAAAATAATATCAGAGCCCAGGCAGAGCTGGAGCCATGGGGAGAGGGAGGGTGTCAAGCATTTGAAACTGTAACTGTTGGGAGATGCAGCTGCTGCCAGAGGATTAGACCATCCACACATAAACCCAACGATTCCCTTGCTGTCTTGTACAATGCTCCATCGTATAATTTTTCACACATTTTCTGGCTTCCACATAAGCCTGCAAGTTTCCAGAGGACAAAGACTCCTTGACTCAGCATACCCAAAGCATACATAACACAGCGTCTGGCATGGAGAGAGTGCTCAACAAATGCTTGCTGAATTAATAGTCAAGTAATTGATCCAACTGTTTTCACATTTTTTCAAAGTGATATCTGAAATGAATAGGTTGACAGGCAGTCTAACAACAGTGAAGTGAACATTTCAGGCAGGGTTTAGAGAAGCCTTTATTGAGGTAAGAATGTTACCACTGTGTTAGATTCCTTCTGTCTCCAAGACTAGTCTCCCAAAAGAAACTGTTATTAAATTAAAATGGAAATAACAGTTTCCTGAGTCTGACTTTTCATGGAAACAATGAGTAAGAACCCTATATTAACACAATGCAGAAGGTGAGATATAGCATATGTCTTCCCTGCTGCAAGAAATGAAGAATCTGTGATTATCAATGAAATTACCAGAATAGGATAATTGGAGCAAAAAGAGGAAAAGTCAGCTTAACTGAGAGTAAACAGGCCTCTCTTGGCTCTGTAAGTGGTACATGGAGGTGACAGAGAGATGTCCCATAAGAAATGGAAGTAAGGAGAGAGATCCAAGATGGCTGATCACTAGCAGCTCGGGACTGTAGCTCCCAGTGAAAGTGCAGAGAATGAGAGGACACCACACTTTCAGACGAATTTTTGTGGCTCACGCACCAGGAGATTCCCAGCAGAGGAGCCCCACGGGTCGCCAGCGCGACTCTTGTGGCCAGCAAGGTGGTTTTGCAGCTGCCTTGGTGCTGCGGCTCTTGGTGCAGAGTCAGAAAAGCACCATCAATCTTAACGCCACTGTTTTGGCCAGCGCAGTGGGTTGCTCAGATTTTAGCACCGGGAATCAACAAGTTGGACATCCACTCAGAAACCCAATTATAAAGACGGTAATTATAAAGACCACAGACGGATAAATCTATAATGAAGGGAAGAAACCGGCCTAAAAAGGCTGAGAATACCCACAATCAGAATGCCTCTCCCTCTACAGGGGATCAGAGTTCCTCATCAGCAACGGAACAAGGCCTGATGGAGAACAAGTGTGTTCCATTAACAGAAGCAGGCTTCAAAAGGTGGATGATAAGAAACTTCGGTGAATTAAAAGAACTTGTTCTAACCCAATGCAAAGAAACTAAGAACTTTGAAAAAAGGTTTGACAAAATGTTAGCAAGAATATACAATTTAGAGAGGAATATAAGTGAATTAATGGAGCTGAAAAACACAAGAAGAGAACTTCACGAAGCATGCACAAGCTTTAGCAGCCGAATTGATCAAGCAGAAGAAAGGATATCAGAGGTCGAAGACCAACTTAATGAAATAAAACGAGAAGACAAGATTAGAGAAAAAAGGATAAAAAGGAAGGAGCAAAGTCTCCAAGAAATATGGGACTATGTGAAAAGACCTAATCTACGTTTGATAGGTGTACCTGAATGTGATGAAGAGAATCAATCCAAGCTGGAAAATACACTTCAGGATATTATTCAGGAAAACTTTCCCAACCTAGCAAGGCGGGATAATATTCAACTCCAGGTAATACAGAGAACACCACAAAGATATTCCTCAAGAAGACCAACCTCAAGGCACATAATCGCCAGATTCGCCAGAGTTGAAATGAAGGAGAAAATACTGAGGGCAGCCAGAGAGAAAGGTCAGGTTACCCATAAAGGGAAGCCTGTCAGACTCACAGCAGATCTCTCAGCAGAAACCCTACAAGCCAGAAGAGAGTGGGGGCCAATATTCAACATCCTTAAAGAAAAGAACTTTCAACCCAGAATTTTACATCCAGCCAAACTAAGCTTCATAAGTGAAGGAAAAATAAAATCTTTTGTGAACAAGCAAGCACTTAGAGATTTCATCACCACCAGGCCTGCTTTACAAGAGCTTCTGAAAGAACCACTACACATAGAAAGGAACAACCAGTATCAGCCTTTCTAAAAAATACCAAAAGGTAAAGAGCATCAACATAATCAAGAATTTACATCAACTAATGGGCAAAACAGCCAGCTAACATTAAATGGCAGTATTAACTCACATATATTATTATTAATTCTAAATTTAAATCGACTAAATCCCCCAATCCAAAGACACAGACAGGCAAAAAAAAAAAAGCCAAAACCCATCGGTATGCTGCATCCAGACCCATCCCACATGCAAGGATACACAAAGACTCAAAACAAAGGGATGGAGAAAGATTTACCAATCGAATGGAGAGGAAAAATAAATAAATAAATAAAAAGCAGGAGTTGCAATTTTTGCGTCTGATAAAATAGTCTTTAAAGCAACAAAGATCAAAAGAAGCAAAGAAGGATATTACATAATGATAAAAGGATCAATGCAACAAGAAGAGCTAAAGATCCTAAATATATATGCACCCAAGACAAGAATACCCAGATATATAAGACTTATAAAGAGACTTAGACTCCCACACAATAATAGTGGGAGACTTCAACATCAATATTAGACAGATCAATGAGACAGAAAATTAACAACGATATCCAGGATTTGAACTCAGATCCAGAACAAGTAGACTTAATTAACATTTTTAGAACTCTCCACTTTAAATACACGAAATATACACTCTTATCAGTACCACATCACACCTATTTACAGGTTTAAATGAAATATTGGTTGGCTGCTTGTTTGTTATTTTCTTCCCTCATTTTTTTTTTCATGTCTCATACCCATTTTTAGACTGCATTCTAGCCCGGGCAATAAAGCAACACCCCCGTTCTCTCTCCCTCTTCCTCTTTGTTCCTCTCCTTCATTCTATTTTTTTTTTAATTATTCTTTTTTTTTGTTTCTTTCTCTCTTTCTTCTTTTTTCTTTTGTTTTTCAAAAAAAAAAAAGAAACGGAAGATGGCTTTCTGAGAGTAAATATAAATCAGCAGTTAACAGATGAGATTGGAGGTATAGAAAGTTGCTAGCTCTTAGAACTGCAACATTTGACATCATATGTTTAACTCATCTTAAAAAATGTGCAACTTTGGAGCTTGGATAGGATGTGTCAGCAACCAATATCTGATCACCTCTGGAACATAGACAGGGCTGAACTGAGCTTATAAAACTTCAGGTCTGAGGACCAGCCAGCCCTTAGGCCAGAGTGAATTCACTAAGATGTAAAATGTGTTAGAAGTCAAGCTGATATCTCCTAAGCACCCCCAATATCAACTTAGACTCTGTATTTGAACTTATATACTCTACTCCAAAACAGTAAGTTTTCCTTATTTATTTATTTATTTATTTATTTTTGAGGCAGAGTGTCCCTCTGTTGCCAGGCTGGAATGCCGTGGCACCATCTTGGCTCACTGCAACGTCCACCTCCCGGGTTCAAGCAATTCTCCTGCCTCAGCTTCCCAAGTAGCTGGGACTATAGGCACGCACAACTGCACTCAGCTATTTTTTGTATTTTTAGTAGAGACAGGGTTTCACTGTGTTGGCCAGGATGGTCTTGATCTCCTGACCTTGTGATACGCCTGCCTCGGCCTCCCAAAATGCTGGGACTACAGGCGTGAGCCACCACACCTGGCCTTTTTTCCCTTTTTTTTTTTTTAGATAGAACCTCGCTTTGTTACCCAGGTGGGAGTGCAGTGGTGCCATCTTGGCTTACTGCAACCTCCACCTCCCAGGTTCAAGTGATTTTTCTGCCTCAGCCTCCCAAGTAGCTGGGACTACAGGCACACACCACCATGCCCAGCTAATTTTTGTATTTTTAGTAGAGACAGGGTTTCACCGTGTTGGCCAAGCTGGTCTCAAACTCCTGACCTCATGATCCAACTGCCTTGGCCTCCCAAAGTGTTGGGATTACAGGCGTGAGCCACCGTGCCTGGCCTAACAGTAAGTTTTCTTACGCAAAATTCAGAATCATCATTGAAGGCCAATATTGAAGTCAGACGACCCTTGATGAGTCAGCCAACCCCTATGATCCTGCATTTCCTCTTCTGTAAAAAGGGGATAATAATTCCCACACTGCCTGCCTCACATCGTTGTTGTCATTGTTGTTGTGACAATCAAATGCATGAGAACACACTCTGCAAACTTGCAACCATCCTATGATCAGGCCCCTGCCTGTCACTTTAACCCAAAACAGAGCCGTACATTAAAATATTGGTCCCTAATTTTTTGTTTATTTTCTTTTTAACAAGAACAAAAAGGTTAGTATAATTTTTGGTTAGAATAATTAAATGGGGAAAGGTTCAGAGCAGCAGGAAAATTTCAGGCTGACTTTGCAGGGGGAAGTCTCAAGTCAGTCCAGGAAAGAAACTTGGAAAAAACTGAGTCAGGGAAAGGAAAAAAAGTAAAACAAATGTGCAGCTTAAAGAAAAGCCAAAAGCCAAGGAAACTCTGGCTTGTCTTCCAAAGGCAACAGTCCATCCCAAAACTAAATGCCCCTTCCAAGGGGAAGAGCAAGAGGTTCTTAAAGGATAACATCTTTTGTGGTTGTATGGGTGGTGAAAGGGGATCGCATATCTGAAGTCTGAGGGAAGACAAATCACTTGCATGGAGTGTGGGTAAAAATGAAAGAGACCATGAGAGGGAAAAGGCTAACAGCCTAAACTTGGGCTAAAGTAAATTCCGTCAAACATGATTAAATATACACAATGCATAGAGCAAAAGCAGGAGCTCAAGTTAGCACATTAGCCAAAAGCCCAGTCTCTCACCAGTGGAGCCAAGACAAACATGCTCACATTGTGAGCTTGCCCAGGGGGCTGGAGGAAGGGATGTCAGATCGGAGGGCCTCGGCGACCTGATCTGCCCACCTGCAGAATTGATAAGGTCAAATCCAAGGCACTGGAGAGAGAAACAAAAATGAAAAGTGGGCAAATACCAAAGTCAGCACATGTCCACCTCTCAGTACTACTACCTCCCAGTCCAGACTCTTAGATGATTCGTTTCACCTTTGCAAACCCCAGGTTTCTTCCCTATAAAATGGAGTTGTTCTCACTGGCTCAACTTCCCTTCGAGACTTCTTGTGAGAATCCAAAGAAGGTGGAGTATTTCTTAAAATGGGAACGAGGCCCACAAATGACTGGGAATTGCTCTAGGTATTTTCACAAAGCCCACATCCCCTCCTCCTGAAGCACTTGTGTGGGGTTAGATCAGAGCTTGTCCAGAGACCTCAGCTCTGGTCACATGAGCACACACACCACTCTCTTCCTGCTGAGCTTGAACCATGGCCCAGCTATGGCCGTGGTGACAGTGACCAGAATGACACCCACGGCTGTGTTTTTCTCTCCTTTCTTCCCTTTTCTCAGAGCCCTGCCCAGCAACAGCCAAATACAAATTCTCTAGACTCCTGCACTCCCCACCCACTTCCTCCTGCTCAGATTCCTTGTCTCCCTGCTTCCCCATAAATGGCATTGCTGGTGAAAAACGGGCCTGCTGTAGGATCTGCTGCACGCTCCACCCACCTCTACCTTTGAGTACAAGGAGATGATGCCCCTCCTTCCTCCTACCAGTTGGGGAGAAATGTGCTGGCCTCAGCAAGGATGGTAGGGACACTGTGGGGAATGAGGATTTTTCTGTGATGATCTAGACAAGCACGTCAGGTCCTTAGAGAACTTTTGGGGGCCCTTGGGGATCTCCCTTAGGGACACAAAAGCAGCTGGGTTGTTGCGTGGCATCTCAGAGGAGGCCTAGTCCTATCTGCAGTCCGTCCCACTCTACCCACTCAAGTTGCAGCCCCTTGGCATCACCATTTCACCCACCCTGGGAAGACTCTCCCTTGTCCCTGGCCTCCCACGGACTCCAGTGCACTGACCTGTCCCTGCATCGGCCTCAGCTTTCTCTCAGAAAGAGAGCTTCCGTGCTGGGTGCGGTGGCCCATGCCTGTAATCCCAGCACTTTGGGAGGCCAAGGTGGGCAGATCACTTGAGGTCAGGAGTTCAACACCAGCCTGGTCAACATGGTGAAACTCTGTCACTACTACCAAAAAAAAAAAAAAAGACAAATATTAGCTGGGCGTAGTGGTGGGCACCTGTAATCCCAGCCACTCAGGAGGCCGAGGCAGGAAAATCACTGAAATCCGGGAGGCAGAGGTTTCAGTGAGCTGAGATCACACCACTGCACTCCGACCAGGGTGACAAAGCAAGACTTTGTCTAAAAAAAAAAAAAAGAGAGAGAGAGAGAGAGTCCTCACAGGATTCCAGTGAATTCAGCCATGCAGGTCTCACTTTGTTGGAAAAAAAATAATTCATTCTGTCTTCGCCATCCAGTTCAGCAACATCATATTTTGTAAATACATTTACAAAGAGATTTACTCATGTACAGGTTTACTCCTGACCTTGTGTTGTTTGAGCCCCCAAACTCCTGGGAAAGAGATGAGTTCCAATGTACTGGAGAGATGTCTAAGCACTCAAAAGAAAAGAGGGACTTGAGGCCACTCCGTAATAATATAATGAATGTTTCTATTGCACTTCATAATTTACAGTGCCCTTTGGAACCTCATAACAATCATTTAAGAAGGTTGTTGAGGGCTGGGCGCAGTGGCTCATGCCTGTAATCCCAGTGCTTTGGGTGGTCTAGGTGGGTGGATCACGAGGTCAATAGATCAAGACCAGTTTGGCCAATATGGTGAAACCCCGTCTTTACTAAAAATACAAAAATTAGCCAGGCATGGTGGCACGCACCTGTAGTCCCAGCTACTCAAGAGGCTGAGGCAGGAGAATCACCTGAACCCAGGAGGCGGAGGTTGCAGTGAGCCAAGATTGCACCATTGCACTCTAGCCTGGCGACAGAGTGAGACTCCCTCTCAAAAA